CTCGTGTCTCCACTGAATAGTGTTTTGCTTGTTCTCTAGCTAGCTGTAGCTAGCTGTAGCTAGCTGCAGCTAGCTGCGGCTAGCTGCGGCTAGCTGTAGCTAGCTGTAGCTAGACAGAGATATATAGGTAGCTGTATATGCTGTGGCTAGCTGCTGTTACTAAGGACTTGCTCTGGGGTTCAGCAGCTAGCTAGCTGCTGCTGCTGCAGCTAGCTAGCTAGCTGCTGCTGCTGCTGCTGCTGCAGCTAGCTAGCTGGTGCAGCCTAGCTGCTGCTGTTTATCAGCAGAGGCAAACGGGGAGACAGCACGAAGCAGCAAACCCTTCTTTAGGGTTTAGGGTTTAGGGTTTAGGGTTTAGGGCCTACAATAAGAACAACGAACATCTACTGTGTGCTCCTTTTGCTGCTACTGCTGCTGCAGCTGCTGCTGCTGCTGCTGCTGCTGCTGCTGCTGCAGGAACGGGCAGCTTACATGGTGTCTCTAGGGTTTAGGGTTTAGGGTTTAGGGTTTAGAGTTTAGGGTTTAGGGTTTAGGGTTTAGGGGGCCGTAAGCATCCACCTTAGTATTCACTGCCAGGGGAGGTTACATGCTGTGCAGCTGAGGGTTTAGGGTTTAGTGTAGGGTCTAGGGTTTAGGGTTTAGGGTTTAGGGTTTAGGGTTTAGGGTTTAGGAGCGGTCTGCATGCATGCGGTTTAGGGTTTAGGGTTTAGGGAAATATAAAAAGGGTTTGTTTGCTAAACCCTAATTTTTTATTTATGGAAATAAAAAATAAATAAAAAAATATATAAAAAAAAACTAAACCCTAAACCCTAAACCCTAAACCCTAAACCCTAAACAGGGGGGCTGTTGCAGCCCTGAGTAGCCCACGAGGGTTTAGGGTTTAGCCTGTGTCGGCTTCCTAAACCCTAAACCCTAAACCCTCATCACAAACCCTAAACCCTAAACCCTAAACCCTAAACCCTAAACCCTAATTATATATTTATAAAACTTCAGCAGGGGCTCCTCGCCCCCACCACCCCAAACCTCCGCTGGGCCCGAGGCAAGCAAACCCTAAACCCTAAACCCTAAACCCTAAACCCTAAACCCTAAACCCTAAACCCTCAACGTCTACAGCAGCCGTATAAACTTCGTGGCAGCAGGCGACGGGTAAGTGCCCGCCAAAGCCCCGAGCAGCAGCAGCAGCAACAGC